GATGCTGGCACTGCAGGCGTCAGCTTAACCCGCAGTACCACAGCGCTAGCCCCATCACCAGACTTAATACACTGACTTCCAGTTTTTGCCCATGAGGTGGGAAGAGGGTCTCCTGCCTGAGGATGCCAATGGAAGGATTCAGATTGGCACCCAGGAGGTGTGGTAGGGTCAGGAATTAGCATTTGGGCAATTCATTGTACCAAAATCTCATCTAGGGTCCTTTCAGCTTAAAAAAGTAAATAAAATGTGGGAGTCCACTCAGCTCTGCTTGTCCTATAGGGAGTCCTGCAGGGTGGACTGATGGGGCAGCCTGGAGGCCCTGTTCCTCCTTCAGGGATACAGTCTCAGCCGTTAGTAGTTCCTGAGTGAACTTGACATGCTGGGGAGAAATCCTCATGATTCATCAAACTAGCTAGATAGTGAATTGTGTTCTCACCTGCGCCTCATCTTTGTGGAATAGACTTGGAGCAGGGGCTTCATCCACGTCCCTCTTTGTGTCTTTGCCCTGGTTCCCTGGGGATGAAGCGACTGAAATGTGTCTAAGGACACCCTCCTGGGTGACTTTTGTCTGGCTGGGGACCCAGTGAACCATGTGGTTAAACTCTGTGACCTCACTTTCAGTAAGACTGACTTCTGCCCTTTAGACGTACCTGAGGAGTTCATTTTCAGCTGTGTGACTTGGGGAAGGAGTACAGCTCCATGTGTCAGCTGCTTGTGAGCAGTGTTTTCCCCAGAACCAGACAGTTGCTACTTGAAATTTTTTTAAAGATTTATTTATTTATTTGAAAGTCAGAATTACAGAGGAGAGCCAGGGGGATGAGGGGGTGAGAGAGAGCGAGAGAGAGAGCGTCCATCCACTGATTCACTCCCCCAATGGCCACAATGGCTGGAGCTGGCCAAGCTGAAGCCAGAAGCCAAGAGCTTCTGGGTTTCCCATGTGGATGCAGGGGTCAAGTACTTGGGCCATCTTCTGTCACTTTTCTAGGCCCATTAGCTGGGAGCTGGATCAGAAGTGGAGCAGCCAAGACTTGCACCATTGCCCATATGGGATGCCTACACTGCAGGAAGAGGCTTATTCTATGTCACAGCGCCAGTCCCTTTGTTTTATTTTTTAAGGATATATTCACTCTGCTCTGTGTTGTCAACCCCTTCTTATTTAATCTCAGGATTTAATACTTGCCTGCATCATCTTTCTGTAATAAAAATGTCATGCCCATGTTGTTCCAGGTACAACTCATATCCGTCTCAGCCCAAGAAAGTTCTATAGCTATAGACTCACATCCCCACATTCTCTGATGGCTCCTTTTATTTATTTATTTGTTAAAATTGGTGCCCCCACCTGAGTGTTATGTGCTATTTTGTTTATTCTAACAGTGATGCTTTTGCCTCAGACTTCATTGTTTAATTGTTCTCCCTATTCTCTTATTTCCCTTTTCCATTTGAAAAGCAATGTGGTGGCAGTGAAGCTTATGAGGGGCTGGGGGCCTGCTGGGAGGCGGGGTTCTCCTGAATTAGCTGCTTAAAAAAGTACAGCGTTTGAAATCCTTGCCTGTTTTTTGTATTGATTCCATGATAAAAATGTGTGGTCTTGTTCATTGGATTCTGGGCACCATTTTTAGCCTTTATTTCCACTCCTCTGGGGTTTGGTAAAAAATGCAGTAGGGCTGAGAGAATGCTTCGCAGAGATGCGGTGCTTTGTTACAGCTCTGCAGCTGGCTGTGTTGTGCCTCTGCCGTGATTCCTTAAGCAGCTCCAGATTAATTTTTCAGCCATCCTGCAGGCAGCAAGCCTGTGCTGAGCTACCTCTGCCCTAGCAGTTTCTTCTGCAGCCTCACAGTCCTCCCCTGCTGGTCTTCACTAGGATCTCGCTCTTGCTTTTCTCTTGATATTTAAAATTTAATTTTTTAAAAAAATGCATATTTATTTTGTTTGAAAGGCAGAGAGACAGAGACAGATCTTCCACCCGCTGGTTCATTTTACAAATGCCTGCAACAGCTGGGGCTGGGCCAGGCCAAAGCCAGGAGTTCATGTGAGTGCCAGTGACCCAACAACTTGAGCCAATACTGCTGCCTCCCAGGGTGTGCATTAGCAGGAAGCAGGAATCAGAAGCAGAGTTGGGACTTGAGCCCAGGCACTCTGATAACGATATGGGCATCCCAAGTGGCACTTTAGTTGCTGTGCTTTAAAAATTCTAAATATGATAAGATATGAAGTCTAGAAATGTGTACAGAATTCCCAGTTGAGAATTGTCAGGTCAACTGTGAGGACAGAGCTATTTGTAAGAAAACCCAAATTCTAGTTGTAATAATAATAATATTTTACATCTAAGCAATGCCTGCAATGTTTCTATTGGAAAAATATGTTCCCATATTTCCTCTTGTATGAACTGAGGTTTAGGGGCCCCGTGAGGAGAGGGAGGATGGGGGAAGCTTCCCGGGAAGCCTGGAGAGGGGTTTTACATACTCACCATGTCTTCTGACTCAGGGCAAATGAAAGTTGGGGACCTTGCAAGGAAGGTGCAGGCACAGGTGCATGGGGGGTAGAAGGGAGTATGGGAGGCCACGGAGGCTGGGAGAGGAGGCAGCAGCTGGCCTCCAGCACCCTGCTCTCACCAGGCCCACTCTTGCCTGTTCAGCCACTGATTCCTTTTATAAATATTTGTAGTATTTGCTTTGAAGTCATTGGCGCATTTGGACCCCACCTGGGCATCTCACTTGCAGGCTTCAAGGTCACGTCCTTGATGTCCTTGTATAAATGGCAGCCCCTGCCTATTGTGAAGTTGCAGTGAGGGTTGGAAACCATCTAGGCAAAGTGCCTGCCATGTATTATTACTCCATGGACTGCTCTTCCGTTCTTTCTGCCTGTATGACCCAGGCGCTCTGAGTATTTTCTGCTGTGATGCCAGTCACCTGTTACCTGGGGTACCTCCAATCAAAATCAGGTGAAAAATTAGTCAAATCTTGTTTTTTTGTTTGTTTCAGTTTCCTGTTCTTGTCGCCATTTTTAACCACGGATTTCAGAATTTCCAGTTTCAGTCTCATGTTTTGAGATTTATTTATTTTTTTTGTCCTTTAGTTCTGCCACTTTCTTGGGTCGTCTTGACTTTTTGGGTCATTTTGACTTTTATTTCTGTGAGTAAAATGTGAAACTTGCACAAATAGAATGAAGGTAAATGTGTTAGAAGAGGTTTTTCTTCTCCTTGCTGGGGAGAGGTCTTGCTCTTTTTGATTGGATCCACAAGCAGGCGGCCTTCAGTCTAGAACCCAATCCGTGTCTCTGGCAGGTGACAGGGACCCAAGCATATGCTGTCACCTGCTGCCTCCCAGGGTGTGTGTTAGCAGGAAATGGAATCAGAAGTGGAGCCGGGACCTGAACCAGGCACTCCAGTATGGGATGTGGGGATCGCAAGTGGTTGCTTGGCTGCTGAGCCACCGGGTCACCCCTCCGATATCCTGAAGGAGATTTGAGGAAATGCAGAAACAGGACATCTCCCTTTCATCTTTAGGTAAAACTGAGCGTCGCTGAAGCAAAGCTTTCTTGCTCCTTCCTCCTCCACACTGGCTGCCTTGCTTTCCTGTGGAGTGGGTGTTCCCAGGCTGCCCTCCTGGGTGTCCTGTTTCTTTCTGCCCACTCATCTTTTAGTCTGATTTAGTAAGAGTGGGCGCTACATGGAGTTGGGAAGTTTGCATTCCTACGCTGGCTGTGTTCATGTGATCGAAGCTTCCCAGTAACCCATGACTAATCCATTTCCTACCCTAAACACCCTCAGCCTTCTGTGTCCTCAAATGACCATGCTTCTGCGAGAGGCCACCCTCAAGCAGCCCGGCCAGGACGACTGGTGCCCACCCCCAGATGAAAGGCTAGCCCTCTTCTAGTGCCATTCTAAGTCATCATGAGGACAGATTTCAAACCCACTGATCCTTGTGGCCCCTGGGGAAGAAGTGGCGAATTCTTCCTGCTGCAGGCTCTGGGTGTGGGTGTCCTGACAGAAGATGGGGTCAGAACCAGGCGCGTGTGCCGAGCTCTCTGTCTGCATCACCAGGCCCTCTGGGTCCCGAGCACCACAGCTCCGCATTTAGTCTGGAGGAACAACACATGGGCCTTTTGCCGGCCTGGAGAAGCCTGGAGAAGTACAGCCTCTAATTGGAGGCTGGTGATGTATGCCAGGCACCCTCCATGACCCTGACATAGTTTCCAAAACATAACCTGAGTCACTACTCACATGTTTCAGAGGCTGGCTCTTGAGGAGCCTGATACAGTAATCGCTCAGTGGGACTTGCTGAGGAAGTGGGTTTGGATCCTTCATGGGGTTTTGAAAACATTTTTAGTTAAAGGATTTATTTTCATTATGTTTGAAAGGCAGAGGGAGATCGTCCATCTGCCTGTTCACTCCCCAAATGTCTGCAACATCCAAGGCAGGGCCAGTCTGAAGCCAGGAGCTTGGTCTCCCATGTGGGTGGCAGGGACCCAAGTACTTGAGCCATTACTTGCTGCCTCCCAGGGTGTACATTAGCAGGAAGCTGGATCACCAAGACTGGAACCTGGTACTCCAGTATGAGATGTGGGAGTCCCAAGTGGGGACTTAACCACTGTGCCATATGCCTGTGGATATTTTATATCTAACTCTCTTCAGTATATGTGAATGTGATGATGGCCTCACAGCTTTTAGTTTGTCTTTTTAAAGATAATTCCTTGCAGCTTATTGTCTGAGTAAGAGCATCTATACTTGGAAGAGATGAGAAATACTACAGATACTTGGTCAATATGGCAATATTGATACCAGTATAGATACTTGGTCAATGTGGTGTTTTCAGAAGCCGTGAGATTCCGTCCTTTTTTTTTTTTTTTTTTAAATGAATTATGTACAGTCGTCACTTTAAATTCCAAAGGACTTTAAAGCAGTTCAGGTGAGTATTTACAACTCAGGATTCTGTTTAATGTGTAGCGGTGCCATTGGGATATGTGTGTATGTTTGAATTTGTTATTGTTTTTAACTGCAGGAGCTCTTACCAAAGTGAAGGAGAGTAGGCGCCACGTGGAGGAGGGGAAGATGGAAGTCCAGAAGGCCGACGGGATCCAGGACCGCTGTAACACTATTTCTTTTGCCACTTTGGCTGAAATCCACCACTTCCATCAAATTCGAGTAAGAGACTTTAAATCACAGATGCAGCATTTCTTACAACAGCAAATAATATTTTTCCAAAAAGTGACCCAGAAGTTGGAAGAAGCTCTTCACAAATATGATAGTGTTTAATGACTGGACATTGGATTGTGGACTTCTTTTTTTTTTCCAGTTCAAGGATAATTCTTCAGCAGAATAAAAACTGCTATCAAAGAGCTATTGCCAACTATCAGTGGTGGTACAAGGATGGTTTTGTGTTCAACTGAAACCCAGCTGAATATATAATTATGTAGGAAAGAAACAGTTAATATGGTTATATAATAGGAACAGTACCACGCATTGTAACTAAATTATACTATGTATGCCTACACTACCATTGTAACTTTTGGAATAATGATTATACTATTTGCCTTATTGCTTTTTCAAGTATGGGTATTTTAGTGCATACTTTGTAGACCTCAAAACCCATGAAGGGTCTCAAAGAAGCTGGCTGGATCCAAGCCTGCTGCGGATGCCTTTTTACTCTCATAGATTGGGATTACCTAAATTCAACCTATTCTCTGTTTACAAACTCCAACTAGAGCAGCTATGCGACTTTGTGCCTTTAGACTCTTGGTTTTTCTTTTCTCCCCCCAAACCTCCCCTTTTTAAGTAAGCCACATCGTCTCTGATTGAAAGAGTGAAAGACCAGTGCATACAATGACAAACTGATGATAACCTCATGTTGGCGGTGGGGTTGGGATGGGAGGATCAGCTGTCATCAATTTGCACAGCAAGCGTTATCTCCTGCTAAGATGCTGGTGAGTGCTGAGGAGGGAGACTTGAAGTTCATCTTTGGGTGCGAAATCCATTAGGGAAGACACGGTGCCACCTGCCACCATCTTCCCGTAGACGCGACAGTAGCATAGCCTCTTCACACAGGTGTCCTGAGAACTTGGCGTGAAGATTTCAGCAGACTTGTTTTGCGACAGGCAGAGGAGGAGTCTGATCAATCAGAGGATGCAAGTACAGGATCAGTGACAACACACACTCGGTTTCAGTTCTTGGATGGGTTTGGTTTTTCTTTTTTTTTCTCTTTTTTTAGATTGAAGATTTAATACTCAGTTTTCTTTTTTTAATGGATCTACACTGTTAACTGATTGAGACTCCACTGTGATTCACTTGTTTACTTAATCAAAAACTTTCAGGGATGTCTGTAAATTTCAGTGTTATATGTGATGCAAAGTGGTGTTGGTTGATCTAAGGAGGGACCAGAAATAATTTCTACTATTCCAGATGCTGAAGGAAAAAAAATAATGATTTATAATGTGTTTTAAATAGTATTCCTAAGCCCCCACCCCGCAGGACTTTTACCCTTAAAAATTATTTTAAATATATTCTTTTACTGTTTCAAGGGAAATATAAATGGCTGATAAATACCAAAAAGATTCAAAAGCAGCTTAAGTTAAAAAGCACAAAGAGATTGCTGGCTTGACGTACCAGAATCTCAATTTTTTTTTTTATAGTTGCTGAGCTTAATAATGTGATTCTTGAGTTTACAGATTTCAGAACTGTCACTGAAAGGTTCAAGTATGTACTGTTTCTATAAAGTTGATCTTCCGCTGCCTCAGAAACTCCTGGGTACTGAAATGGTGACCCAGAAGTAAAGGGGTTAGCCTGAGCTGTTGGTGAGTGGTGATGAGACCGGAAGGGGTTCCATCTGCGGGTAGTCACGACAGGGAAAGGTTACTGGAACAATTACTCAACAGCACATTTGCTCTTTTGAAAAAGGAATCTCATGGGTTGGATTTTTCAGATCAAATTATTGTAATCTTGAGCATTGGTCAAAATTTTGTACCTTAGCTTACTGAGAGCCAGATTTCACATCACGTGGCTATGTCTTTACTACAGATACGTGCAACTGTCACCAAATATGTCGTTCTCTAAAATAATGTTTTTCATCTGTTGCAAAAGATAGTTCTATAAACAAAACTGATACATAAAAATATTAATTTTATTGCAGAAATTTGGAGGTTATAATTATAGCATTTAATCTAAGTTTGAGTCTGTACGGGACAAGTAAGCACTATACTTTTCCAATGATTTGAAAGTCACTTTTATATGCCTTGTTCTTTTGATGGCAGTTTGATTTTTTTTTTCTCTTCTCTCTTTTTTTTTTTCCTTTTTTTAGTAAAATCAGTAAATTTGTGCAATGGTAGCATGGAAGTTATTTGAGGTGTCCTGTATGTGCTTTAGCCAGGGTGGACATAGCTTAAGTTTGAAAAACATAAAAATGAAAGTACAAGGAAGTAAACAGTCACACTGCCTACTTCTAAGAGAATGGAGTTTCTTCATAACTACTTGCCGTTACAATGCCACTGATTCACAAGGGGTTAAATTAATTCTGCTGGGTAGGACACCAGAATTATTAGTGTTCATTTTCATCTAAGATCTTTACCCTCTAACGTTCTTGGTCCTATTGAAACATTTCAGTATATAAAAATACTGCAATGTTAATACCCAAGAGAAAAGCCATTATCATGTGAGTGCTGGTCAGGGTGATCAGTGTGGGACAGATTTTTTTTTTAAATAAAGTATCATACCCTTCATGCCATAATTTGTCTTTATTTCTGTACTTTGTGATTCTGGTGTGCAATGTGTTTGTAACGTGAGAGTGCACTGTACCTGAGCCTGCTTTGGGTATTTTAATGACAGATGGAGTTGATGATGTGCTGTAGCTGTAATGCAGTGAGCCTGGTTCTATAGCCAGCCACTGTAGTCCATTACGCTTGCAGGTTGTTGTAGCTGAAGGTACAATTCACACCTAGCATGAGGGAACATGAAACTTAAAGCCAGTGCACATAGACTCAAATATCACAGGAATCTGGATTTTCTGGATCTTCGCTGATGGTTGTCTCACATTTACTCCTAATAACACAGCAGAGTTTTAAATGGAGAATTTCCATTGTCTTACATTGTGCTGCTGTTCTCATAATTAGAGACTTGAAAAATGTTCTGATCTGTCAAGTTTGCAAAGCTTTTGTGTAAACCTCTAAATGTCATTCATTAGTCATTGTGTTGGCCATTTTTCCCCATCTATGTCTTCCTTTTTTCAGAATGAAACACCATGTCTGATACCTTTAAATCCGTATGCATTATCTAGTTTTCTCATTTTCCCACTTTTTCTTGGGCTAACAGAATAAGTAAAACAGGGTATTATTTATTTATTGGCTAGAAATGTTGGATATTGTTTTTATTTTCTTCAGAATGTTATGATTAGCACAGATCAGCTGTGTATGTCTTTTAAAAAAATAAACAAAGGTTGCTTTATTTCTAGGCTGCAATGGGATATTATAATTTTTTCTCCATTCGTCAAGGAGGCATTTATTTAATGTGAGACTGACACACAAAAGAAGAGCAAGTTCTCTGTCTTCAGCTCCCATCTCTAGTGGCCATGTAAATAGTTCCTTTGAAACACATTGAAGCTGTATAGCTATTTTGATAAATTTAAAACCATGAGTGTGTTAAGTGGTCCCTGTGGAATCTCTGCTTGAGTTAGGTGCATCAGTAATTCAGCATAGAGCAGTCACCTGTGAGGTGTTTTGCCATAAGTTACCATGAGCCCAATCCCAGTGCATCGTAGGTACTTGAGTAAAGTTCTCCACACATTCTGTTTGTTGCCAGAATCGGGCCAGCCTTGACCTTGCATAAGCCTAACTGTGACCTGGTGCATTCCACAAGGGGCCAAAGCATCATCTGGAATCCAGCTTGCACCTTGGTTGGGTGATGTCCCCTGATACTTGATCCTTACACCCTTTTATCTCCTGGTGGTCTGGCTTTCGTGGCCCCTTCCAGTATCTCTCAATAGCCCAAGCCGTTGTTCAGTTCACAGATCTGCTTGGATCAGTGTGGATGCTTGTTCCAAGCTGCACGGATCATTCATGGTCTGGGAAGACTATGAAAAGGAGATGTTCTCTTAGAGTGTGCACGGAAAGAAAGGAGCGGTTGCTGCCTCTCTAACATGAGCTTTACCTGATAACCCTCACAACAAGCTAGGAGAAGTATTTCATGTCCAGCTTAAATATAAAGTTTTCATTTTATTTGAAAGACAAAGATACAGACATCTTCCTTACACTGGTTCACTTCCCAAATGCTCCCTGCAGCCATAGCTGGGCCAGGCTGAAGCCAGGAGCCTGCACCTCCATCTAGCTCTCTTGGATGGCGCCCACGCACTTGAACCATCATCTGCTGCCTCCCCGCATGTGTGTTAGCAGGAAGCTGGATCCGAAGCAGAAGGACTCAAACCTAGGCACTCTGGTATGAGATGCTGCCATTCCAAGCAACGATTCAGCAAGCTGTGCCACACACGTGTCCAGTGTCCAGTTTATAGAAAAGTTAAAATTGGATCTAATACCTTTTACCCAAGTTCACACAAATTGAGTGATGATGCTGAGATCCAACTTGAGATGTGGCTTAAGTCTGTTCTTTTTAAACTGGATTATACTGGATGCCATCTCCCTGCTTTTCAGAACTCGCCTGACCACAGTCCACTGCTGGACTGATAGGGATCCTGTCGTTCTCTGTGCACTGGGGGCACACAGCTGCAAAGGGAGCCTCTCAGAATCTCTTTGCACCCATTGTTGCTGGGAAGCAGGAGAGCCACTGCTGAGCCCAGCAGCTTTGTCTCTTAGCAGGAAGAGCTGGTGACAGGCTGCTGGAGACCGGGCTGCCTGCCAGCTGGGACCTTCTGGTGCTGTTCCACTCCCATCTCCATGTATGTGTAAGTACATTTCAGTTGCCACATGAAGACTCTTGGCAGGGCTGACATACTCACATAGCATCCTATGTGAGTACTGGTTCGAGTCTAGGCTGTTCCAATTCTGATCCAGCTCCCTGCTCATGTGCCTGGGAAACAGGCAGAAGATGGCCTGAATCCTTGGGCCCCCTGCCACCCACATGGGAGACCCAGAGAGAGTTCTGGGTTCTGATTTCCATCTGATCCAGACCCAGCCCTAGCCACAACCATTTGGTAAATGAACCAGTGGGTGGAAGATCTCTCTCTCTCTCTCCATTCTGCCTTTCAGATTTTAAAAAATAATAAGAGCCTTGACAGAACCACAGGTTTAATTTCTGGTGACCAAAGTCAGGACTAGCAGTATCCATTTCTTCCTGGTCTCAGATAGGAGCAATAGGGAATTCCCAAGTGGTAAGCTCTGGTGAATCTGAGAAGTGATGCTAGGGTAGGATAGAGAAAAACACTGCTGTGCTAGGTCTCCAGGGTCAGAAACTGAGGCACTCAGTAGTAGAAAGCAGGCCTGGTCACCCCGGTCCCGGGCCTCTGATGTGTAGGGATAGTTAATAAAGGATGGGTTCATGGCTATGGCCTTTCCAGGCATCTCAACGTCTTCCCGCTCATCCTTGATCCCAGGATATCCCAATCCCATTACTCCTGTAGCAGAGATGGAGCTCCTCAAACTGCCATGTTAGCCAGCCTGCCTTAAAGGGTAGTCCAGCCTCACTGGATAGACTGGACCCGAAGTGTTCCAAGGGTGAGGCCAGTTGTCTGTATGAAGCCACCTTCAAGGGGCTCAAACAGTCAAGATATGTGTCGTGTTGTTGCTGTGTGTCCCATCGGTCCACCCTGGAAATGATCTCCAAAATGGCCAGGTGCGTTGGACCTTATTTTTCTAGTGGTGTAAGATTTCAGTCTTTGGACAGAATGCGGCGTTGCTGGACTTGTGCAAGCTGACGGCAGTGAGAAAGGCAATGCTTTGCAACCAGAGACCTGGTCCCAGCCCACTGTCTGCACTCTATGAACTCAGGCAGTTCACCTGTTGCTGAGCCTCAGTTTCCTCAGTCGTATGGTAGGCCTACTTAGATTTTATTGGATTGTTGAGGGTGTTCGCTTACCTACCATGTAAAGTCATTAACTTTTGCAATACGCCCTGTACATAACACACTTGGGAATTGTTAATAATTCCAGAACTAGGTACTTAAGGTATGATAGCCATATTCCCAACCATTGTGTGACCCTGGGCTATTCATTTCACTTTCCCCTTCACAGACATTCGAAAATTCAAGGTTTGTGAGAATCGAATAGCAGAGGAAAATCTCTGAGCTCAAGGCATGACAAAAGCAGGGACACCATGAAGACCCTCAGTGACTGAGAAAAGGTGCAATGAAGGATTTAAGTCACAGGAACCTCCTTGTCTGTTGTGCTATGGAAATTAAGGAATCCACACTTGGGTTCCAGGTAGGCAGGGCTTCCTGGAGCAAACCACATTCCAGCTCCCAGCCCCTGCTGTTCTGCCCAATTTTCTGCTGTCCACTGGAGTGGACAGGGGCTCCACTCTCCAGCGATAGCCCCCTGTCACTGAGAGGCCTCCTTGGTCCTCAAGGCCTGAGGGGTCTTGGAACAGTCCGTGGAAAATGCAGGTGGTGGCTGGAGGACTCAGTTACTAGGTTTTGTGTCTTATTTCATCACGAGGAGTAAGGCTTTGGGCAGTGTATCAGTGAGCAGAGAGGATGGGGGTCTGGAGGCCCAGCCAGGGACAGCGTCTCTTCACAAAGGTTCCGAAGGCCTAAGGTTTACAAGCTATGTCTTAAGAGACACAGTGTTGGGATGGCTGGGATGCTACTTCATCCTCAGACTATCTGTGGGGAGCAAGCCCTTTCTCTCTGGCAATGGATTTGCTGACAAAAGGATGGCCTCTAACTGATGCGGGGCACTTACAGCCTCCTGAGCAGCTGTCAGCAAATGCAAAAAAAAAAAAAAAAAAATTCTGGGGCCTTTATGTGTCAACTGGAAAGCTTGCATTGACTTTGTCTTCTACAAATAACTGGCTTTGTCTAAAGGATTTCAATAAAATACCATAACAAAAAAGTTTGGAAATCTATGCATAATTTTTCCATCCTTTGTGTTTCCTGTGAATTTTTTGAAGATCCTTTTTATGTTCAGGAAGTTGGTGCATAGCTCCAGCCAGGAGTGTCTGATAGGACAGCTCAGGATTTGGCTTTGATTCACCTAACAGATATTGTGTTTTTTGTGTGTTCTTTCACATCTTTTTTTTTTTTTTTTTTTTTTTTTTTACCAGGCAGAGTGGACAGTGAGAGAGACAGAGAGAAAGGTCTTCCTTTTGCCGTTGGTTCACCCTCCAATGGCCGCCGCGGCCGGCATGCTTCGCTGGCGCACCGCGCTGATCCGAAGGCAGGAGCCAGGTGCTTCTCCTGGTCTCCCATGGGGTGCAGGGCCATCCTCCACTGCACTCCTGGGCCACAGCAGAGAGCTGGCCTGGAAGAGAGGCAACTGGGACAGAATCTGGCGCCCTTACCAGGACTAGAACCCGGTGTGCCGGCGCTGCTAGGCGGAGGATTAGCCTGTTGAGCCGCGGTGCCGGCCTCTTTCACATCTTAAAATTATGTGCTTGAGGCCTGGGACAAAGGGGCAGCCTGCTCCGGGCTCTGGCCTGCCCGGGAGGGTGGATGAGAGTCCATGCAACTAGGAAGCTGGAGTTCATGCCTGTGGGTGGTCTTCGGAGCGGCCAGGCCTGAATCAAATATCAGTGAAGGCCAAATTTGTGATTAGATGATTCATTCATTCCCCTGTCGCCCAAACTCAGAGTTTTAGAAAATACAACTTTTGGTGTTTGACTCAAAATGGTTCCCTTGAGGCGAAACTTGCCTTTAATAAAAAAAAAAAAATCAGAGTGCAGTTTAGTGTTTAACAAGTTAGATTTGGCTTCAGTGGATCCATGGGTGCCCCGAGTCTACATCTGAAATTACTTCGATAGCTCTTGGCCTTTGTGAGTTCTGTTGTCAGCCAAATGGAGCAAGGTGCTAACTGCATACCCATTACAAGGCTATAACCCCATGAGTGTGAAGTCCTTAAGTCTGTGTTCTCTGCGGGAACCAAGGCACTTTGAGAAAAAGTAATTTCAGAGAAAAGGAACTGCTTGACAAATGGTGATGTTTGATGGCTCCAATTCTAGAAGCCATGTGAAGAAAACTTGACCTTTTAGGTGCTCCTGTTGACAAGTGGCCTCATAAATTTCATAGGGTTGAGAAATATAGATACTGGTCATTGAAAAGCAAGGTGAGAAAGCTCCCTATATGCCAATAGAGAATTTTCCCAAGGAAAAGAAAAGAGGGAGGCAGAATGATATTTCGTATGCTACTCTTTGAAGAAAACTACATATGTTATACATGTGTGGATTACTTAGGAAAGTAAATGCAAGAAGCTGGGAGTAAGGTGACATGGTTTGTTTTTGGTGCTAGCAACTGTGAAGCAAGGGTAGGAGGGAGACTTTTACCTTATACCCTATTATATCTTTTGAATTTAAATGGTTGGGTGTATTTACTATTTAAAACACATCTGAAGATAATCTTATTTACAGAAGTGTGTCAAAAGGTGGATGGAGCTAAAGCTCTGTGCCAGCCCTTTTGAGACCAGTGAGCAAACTACAAGGCCCAAGAACAATCGTGTGCAGACAGTGGACTCACCACAATCAGATGAAGCTAATTTTCCTAGTGTTACTCTTTGTTGAAAGTCAACAGCATTAGGGGGTGTACTGTTAAGAGAATGTGTAGCCTGTAAAGACAGCTGTGACCACATTATATTGTACACATTGTTGGTCTTTTAAAAAATGCTAATGTATTTGAAAGGCAGAGTAACAGGGAGAGAGGGAGATCTTTTATCCACTGGTTCACTCCCTAAATGCCCACAGTGGTTGTGTCTAGGCCAGGCAGAAGCCAAGAGCCTGGAACTCCGTCCTCGTCTCATTTGGGTGGCTGAATGCCAAGCCAAGTAGCCGGAACTTGAATGGGCACTCCAGTATGGGATGTGGGCATCACAGGTGGTGGCTTGACCTGCTGCGCCCCAGTGCTTGCCCCTCTTTTGTTTTCTGAATCAAAAACCTTTCTCTTGCACCCTTCCCTGTGAAGCCCTGCATAATCTCCCCACCTCAGGCTAATCTTCCCGCTTCTCAGCATACCTGTCACTTGGTATAGAGCAACTACGGACCCTGAGCTAATGCTGGTTACTTTTCCCTTGTCCTCACATATCAGGTGTTTAACTTTGCTCTAGGTAGATAGCACTGTTTATTACCTGTCATTATATCCACTATTTTATCTGTAGAACTCCCCTATAACACCATTTTACAAATCAAGAAACTGGGGCTAGACATTTGTAATGGTCACAGCGTCACAATGTGGCAGAGCTGGGATTTGAACCAGGTCTCCTGACAGCAGTTTGAGTTCTTGAGGGCTTGCCCATGTCCTCATGGATACCAGGCACATCTACATGAAATGAGGAGGAGGTGTTGTGGATTTCTCCGAGACGTTGCCTGGCATCCCAGTGGTGGGCTCAGCGCAGAGCAGCGAATACTGCAGATGTACGATCAGGCAGTTTTGTGACTTACCAGGTTTGCAAATAATACTCCGCTGCACTTGATCAAAGAAAATGGTGAAAGGCTGCCTGTCTGTGCTGATGTCTCCAACACTAGCGGTCAGCCTTTTCTGAGGGCAGCTTTTCCCAAAGACACATGTCTCCTCTGGGCCAGCACAACAGAGCAGTCCCCAGGCAGTAGGGATCGGTCACAGGTGCGGCTCTGTTCCATGGAAGCGCTTTCTCTCTGCCCCAGCCTGTGGCATTCAGTTCTGTGCCCCAGACAACCCAGCAAAGTCCCCGTGCATCACACCCTTCTAAACCAGTGGCGAAGGGCTGTGGTTTTGGCTGTCAAAGCCACGTATACCAAGTTGCTGCCGTTTGTTCTCCCAAATGCAACCAGCAGAGTTTCAAAGGCTCAAGCTGTGCTCCAGGAATCCGGAGGACTGCGGGCCTCTGAGCAGGCTGCCGGGAGTTCTCACAAGAGGTCAAGACTGGAGAACTCTCCACCCTTGAAGTTCTTGGAGTCTGAAGCCCTGAATTAGTTGAGAAAGTAATAACTTGCCATACTGGTTATTTTGCTCCTTCAATACAAAAACTTTTTTATTTGTTTATTTGGCAGAGTTAGAACCATCTACTGGTTCACGCCCCAAATGGCCTCAATAGCCAGTACTGGTCCAGGCTGGAGCCAGGAGCCTGGAACTGCATCCAGGTCTCCCATGTGGTGGCAGGGGCCTAAACATTGGGCCAGCTCCCACTGCTTTCCCAGGTGCATTAGCAAGGAACTGGGGTGGAAGCAGCTGGGACTTGAACGAGTGCTCATGTGGGATGCTGGTGTTGCAGGCAGTGGCTTAGCTCCCAAGACAAGAACTTCCCATGAGACCAGACTTCTGACTTGTGTATTCTCCCTGTGAACAAACTATAGGAAAACAAATCACTGTACGAGGTTGCTGGGGAAAAGATAGTTATCTCCAGTGCCAAAATAGGATTAAGTCATTCAGATTCAAAAGCTTGATGCAGCCACTGGCCGAGTAGAGATACGCTGGACCCTGGGGTTGATGGAGTTCATTCATTCAGCACATACTAGTTCCTGGCACCAGTCTGGCTGCGGGAAATGTGATGAACAGAAACAAAAGCATATAATTGTGAAATGGAAGCTATTCAGAAGATAAATGCTATGGGGAATAAAAGTAGAGAAGAGGGGTGAGAGTGTGAGTAGTGATGGGGTGGGGAGTGTTTTGTTTTAAACAAGATGATGAGGGCAGACCTCCCGATGTGAAGTAAAGACCTGAAGGACTTGAGAGTGAGCCTCATGGATCTCCAGGGGAGGGACACTGCAGGGCATCAACAGCAGGTGCAAAGACCCTGAGGCAGAAGCTCACTTTGTGTGTTTGAAGCCCAGCAGGGAACTGTGTGGCTAGAGGGAAGAGTAGGGAATTGTGGTGATGGACATGGTAGATTTGATGAGCCAGAGTGAGTGGGAGGGGTCCGGATCACAGAGGGCCATCCAGGCTGTTGGGAGGAGCGTGGCTTTCCTCTTTCAGTGGGATGGGCATCCCTGGAGGGTTTGAGCAGGAAAGAGTATGAAGTGGGTCACGTTGTCAGGGGGTACATTGGCTGTTCTGGGGGGAGAGCCAGGACAGAAGCAGAGAGACCAGTTAGAAGGCACTTGGTAATCAGATGCAACAGTGGCTCATAGCAAGTGGTGGCGGTGGCAGCTCAGCACAGTTGGGTTGAGTCTGTTGGCCAGAGCACCATGTCCGCTATCTGCAGCTTGATTCCTTTCGCTATTTGAGGTCTCCTGTGTTTCCACATGATTTCAGCATTTTTTCTATATCTGAGAAGAATGTCTTTGGTATTTTGATTGGTATCACGTTGAATCTGTAAATTGCCTTTGGAAGAATGGACATTTTAATGATATTGATATTTTTCTAGTCCATGAACATAAAAGATTTTTCCATTTTTTGGTATCTTCTATTTGTTTCTTTAATGTTTTATAATTCTCTCCATAGAGATCTTTAACAATCTTGGTTAAATTTATCCCAAAGTATTTGATTTATTTTGTAGTTATGGTGAATGGGATTGATCTTAGACGTTCTGTCTCAGCCATGGCATTGTCTATATGTACAAAAGCTGTTGATTTTTGTGTATTGATTTTATATTCTACAACTTACCAAATTATTCTGTGAGTTCCAATAGTCTCTTAGTTATTTGGATCCCCTATGTATAGAATCCTGTCATCTGCCATTAGGGATAGTTTCACTTCCTCCTTCCCAGTTTGTATCCCTTTGATTTCTTTTTCTTGCCTAATGGCTATGAATAAAACCTCAGGACTATATTGAGTAGCACTGGTGACCTTGTCTGGTTTCGGTTCTCAGTGAGAATCATTCCAAATTTTCCCCTTCCAATAGG